AGGCAATCTAACTGAACCTTGCAATGCAACATCTATTCTGTTGGAAGAATCTGTTTGGATTGAGACAGTGGACCTACTACAACAGTCATAACCCATGGAACATGGCAAGCTAGAAAGGTGATAAGATATGACTAGGCCCGAGAAAGGAGGCCCAAAATTCGAAATAAGGAGCCCTAGACCACACACCTCCTTGATGAGGAACATAAGACACCACTGCAGAATAGTCAGAGTGAAGCCTGAGAATTTACTCCTTAAGAAGCCCAGACCATGAGACCTTGCCTGTTGAATAGCAAGAAGGACAAAAACATTGTGTGGGGAATCCTCGTTGTCCATGCATAAACTCTAGAACTCCTGATGGTTGGTATATATACTCCATCTCTGAAGCAAGGCATTCATGAAGAGAATGGAACTCTGGATGAGGTGGCAGTAGAGGAACCCAAATTGTAGTAGCATCTTGACTTAATCCCTCAAGATCAAAGAATGATCCCGACTAAGGAAACTGGGGAAACCAGAAAAGAGATGTGTACCATCATGGTTGCTTAAAGACCAATAAAAGGATTGCCTGTGTAAAGGCACAAAGAATTTGAGTAATGCCCACATTCCCAGAAGAGAAAGAACCATCCATGCAGTGGAAGAAGGAGAGGTGAGTAAGAGTGTGACATCCTATTCTATAGCATTGAGCAGGATGGGAGACAGCTGAGCCCGACTGAAAGATGAAATGAAAAATAAAAATACCCAGAATGATGACATACTGAATTTAAGCAAGAATAGATGTCACAGTCTCCAAAGAGATGCCTGCCTGGTGTGTGCATATTATGTTGGAATGAAGGGAATGAGAAAACTTGTACAATACAGCAAAACCCAAGTTAAGCCTAGATGAGACCAAAGGAAAAAAACCAGGAACTGCAGTACCCAACCCTTATGCACCACAAATGCTGATAGTGGTAGAACTCCACCGCTAAGGCCAAGTGCAGTTAGGAGTGGACTACAACCAAGTTGGACATCTATAATCCCAGTAAAAAAATCAACACAAACGTGCATGCTAACAATGGATCCTGAGAGTGACAGAAAACAAAATGTCCCTAACTGTCCCTTCATGTAACTAAGAAGTAAACCTTCCAGCATGAAGTACAATTTCTGTGTATTGAGAAAAAAAAATTGCTCCCAGACCATTCAGCCATCAATTAAGTTCAGCTCAAAAGCAACTGGGTAAAAGCCCAAAACATCACACACTTGAAGAAAAAGAAATCAAAGGCAGCTTATCCTAAAGTGGCCTCCTTTTGGTTTTCATAAGTCATTTAAAGACCGTAGTAAAGTAAGTCGTTTTGTTAGAGCAAGGCAACTGTGAACCATCCACTGCGTCCACCCTAGGGAATCGAATCCCGGACCCTGGCACTGCAAGTGTGAAACTTTACCAGAAATAATAATTCATGAAGTCATACCATAATCAGCTTGCCAATCTGAAGAAATAAATATTTTTTTTTTAATTATTCTTAATATTATTTTTAAGAAATCAATTAGATAACATGATAACGTTCAAGGTATTTCTGATTGATCGTAATGCTGGGAAATCCATTAGTGATGCTCTGTCGAGAAAAAGTGATAATATTATCTGAATGAGGTGCTTATATACAGTACCAGGATAGAGGGTGCATTGATGTTGGTGGAGAGTATCACAAGACAATTATTGCCAAGGGCAACTGAGTGGGGTATAAAAGACTGAAGCAAGCGAGAAAAAATCAGACTAATGCTTAGAGGGGCAAAGACGAAACCCTGTTGGTTGACTAATAGTGATAGATGGCAGCAGAGGTAAGTATGTTTTGGAATTAACTGTTTGCTGCCATTAATATTTACTGAAACATCACTAAAAAGTGAATTGTTAGAAACAAAGAAAAAAAACATTTTTTTGTCTCATTGCAATATACATTATGGAAAACTTCATCTGAGATGTGGTAGAGATGTAATACCATAAAATGTAAATGTTTTATTTTCTTATTTCTAATTTTCGTAAGTTTCCACTTGCAGTGTTCTCACCTCTGTGTATAACAGTAGTCATTCTCATGTAGTCTGAATCACAACTGCTTGTTTTCTATGGATCACTGTTTTTTAAATAAGCTCAGTTCAGTTATAACTCAGAGCAGTATACCTAACATGAGCTAGCTTGTTCAGCATTCATTGTTTATACACTATTTAAAAAGTAATAAATTATTATAAATAGAAACATTTGATGATGTACCCTATTAACATACACAGATAAAACCATGTAACCATGCATCACATATGAATTAAATTATCTAATTATCTAGCAACAATATGAACATCATTACTTCATACACTAGATAAGCAACTTGCAATTTAAAGTCAGCCTATTTTGCAGTTTGGTATATTTCTTCATAATTTCATTGGAACTCGTCTAGTTTTATGTCGATATTTTTGTGAAAACAAATATAGTATAAGCATTAGAAGATTATGCACTATCTAATATTAAGATTATTAAATATTATGTTATTTTACTGACCCTGATCTGAAAATATAAATACTCCATACTAGGAAACAAAAACCCATACTCAGATGAAAACTGCAAATTCAAGGAATGTCAGCTCTCACTCTTCCAGTTTGGTTGATGATACATAATGTCACATATTAATATAAGTAGAGCTGAAAAGCCTCAGACTACATCATCATAATGAAGCTGTAAACTGTTATTTCAAGTTCACAATTTACTAAAGTGAGATGATTTATTGTAGGTGTAACCCTCAAATGGTTTTTGAGAAATAGCATGTTAATGCTTAGCAAAACACTTTCAAGTGAAACTATTATTACATGTAAGGAATGCACTCATACTTCTAACACATGGTTTTAAGTTGTTTTTTACTTCATTTTCACCTTGCAAAACTTGTGTCAATGTAGAAAGAAACTTAAATAAAGTTGAAATTCAGTTCTGGTCTGTTTTATATCTAGATATGTAATAGTAAGTACAAGAAATACTCTTTTTTATAAAATAAAAAGATAATTAAAAATATTTTATTACAAAAATTATAGTTCTTGTAATAGATTAGCATAATATGCTAAATAACAGTAAAATTACACACTCAAGACTTAACATCAAATAATATGAAATTAGGTACCATAACAACACTCTTTATAAAATTAGTATTGATAAAAATAATTGTAAATTTTTGTATTCACTGAAAAGGTTGAACTTTAATTTAACTTTAAAAACTAACAAACTCTAACTGCATGGTAACATCTGTCTGGTAGTGGATACTGAATCTGCTGATGTACTCTACTAACAAACAGTCCTGCCTTTCTATTATTGGCATGTCATAGCATTTCAAAATGGTCAAGTACTATAACGTGGATTGAGATCATGAGGATGTAGTACAAATTTACTGACAGTAAAGTGTAAAATAAGATACAAAGTTTTCATGATATCATAGTTACTGCCTAGTACTTTATCTTAAACAGAGTTTTCATAAATTAGAAAATAGTTTGGTTGTAGTGTATATTACAGTAAGAAAACATTAGTTACTTAATTACACATTTTCCAAGTTTAACCTGACACTTTAAATTACAGCCTGTCATTTTACATTATGAAAAATGTGTTTTTCTGTGTCTTGCATGTTAACTTTATAAATTTGATAATGCCTTCATCTACTGCAAATTCTGACTTTATCTCAAATGTAATGCTTTTAACCCATGGGACTACATAAAAATATGTAGCTGATTTCTAAACAATTAATTACAAAATATATATCCATACAACCAACCTCCTTCATCCTCAGAGTCACTCATGAAGGACTCCTGCATAATCTCAGGTGCTACAACTTTGTACTTCTCTTCTGCCACTGTAGTTGTGATTGGGATGATAGAATTTTCTGTTACCACCTTCAATGTTTCCACAACTGAGATATAACCAAGACGTTTGGCAATAGCCAATGCAGTCTGTCCTTCCTATAAAGTATAAAAAAACAAACTTTCTTATTAGTACACAAAATAATAATACATTATTACATATATGGAATGTACTTATACTTCTAAAACAGAGCTTTAAAGTGTTTTTTTTATCTCACATTGTGAAGCTTGTCTTAAAGTATGAATATTAGGGTGGCCCTTATTTTCTAACTTCCAACTTTTTAGTGGGGCACCCCAGAGATTTGTGAGGATTAGTGAAAAACTAGTCTGGACCAATTTTTAGCACAACACATTCAAAATTAAAGGTTGTTACCAAAATTCCATGTTTTATCTCATGCTCTCTTGATGTTCTACTCCAGACTCAGCAACTCAGAGATGACTATAAGGAACTCTTGGAGTTGGTAATGATCTTTCTCTGAGGGATGCTGCTTTCAGGAGTTTGGTTGATTACTCCAAAAGTGATGCATCATGTCAAGTGAATGGCAAAAGCTACCTACACTCTCAAAGTCTTCAATTTCCAAGGCTAGTTTAACCTCATGGTCAGAGAGAAGGTGGCAATGCAAAAAATTTGCATATTCATGTCCATCATTTACATCAATGTATGGTATGAAGCCCATTTCCCATAGTCTCCTCCAAGGAATGACCTGCAACTCATTCCAGATCTTCGAGCTTACTAGATCTCAGATCTACAGGTGACCAACACCACACTGAAGAAGTTCATTCACCATCTTTGATATTTATCTGAGAAGCTTGTCACTCTCGCCTTCTTCAATGACAATGTACCAATGGAGAGCAAGCATCATATGTCCTACCTCTCGAGAACCACAGGATTGAGGACTGGGAGAACAGAGCAACAGTCGAAAAGAAGGACTTGGAGAAAATGGCCAACAGATTCCAATGTTTTGAAATCATTTGCATCAGAGGATTCCCCTCCAAGGATCCAAACAAATGGGAACAAAAAAACGAGGACCAACAACAGTACCTTCTTTTAGTGGTCAGGGAGCACAGGAAGAAATTCCTTGATGTAAAGAAATGCACCATCATGAAAGCTGTAGAAGCAAATGTTGTTTGATTCTGTAATATGGGAGCATACTACCAGCTTCAAGCAATTCATTTTTCTATAGTAAATTTGTTTTTTCCTTCCTCTTCCTCAAATGTTTCAGAGAAATTTGCATCATGTATGCAGCTTTTTGTTTGTTTGGGTAGCTCATTGTTTGTGTGATGCACACTGTACAGCACAGCATCAAAGGGGGAAAGAGATTTCAAGGGCCAGTAGCAACCCCTTAACATTCTTTGATTCTCTTAAAGTTTTATCAACTTTAGTTTCTGGTCAAACCTTATAAAAGTATGGGGTACCCCACAATAAGTTATTGCTTTTGATTTTTACCCACTGGATAAAGGCCACCCTAAATGAATATACTAAAAAATGTGTAAAATTGGATATAAAATTTTCAAATTAATTCTAATTAGTTCTAATTAATTACAAATATAGCTTGGCTGTATTGTATATTACATTAAGAAAACATTAATTACTTGATCATGGATTTTCCAACTTGACAGTTTAGTAACCAACCTTATTCCTTCATACTTTGAAAATATAAAATGTATTCTGAAAATACTTAGCAAAAATGTATCAAATAGCAAGTACAAATTTCATGTTACAGCATATTTAAATTAGTTGATTCAGAGCAGAGTTTCTCCAATACATTACATCCATGTAAATCTGTTAGGAACATACCAGTCTAAACAAAATTTAAAGACATCAAAATCTATGTTTTAATTAAAGTACCATTTGATTGAGTACTTGCTAAAATGTATGAAATGAACCATAACAAAACAATCATAGACAAAATTTGGTAATGTACAACATGTGTGTAAATGTCACAGGTCATTTTCTAAATGAAGTTAATACTATTATATAAAATAGGATCAAGAGTGTTTCTACATGCAAAATGTCTAATTAACTATATTAATACTTACATTAGTCAATACATTTGGAGAGGCTTTATGTTCCAGCAGAAGATTGATGATTAAAGCATGTCCTTGTTGTGCTGCTTGATGAAGAGGTGTGTACCCATGCTAAGAAATGGAGTAAAATATTTCAAACAAGATAAACTTAGAATGAGATAACTGATGAAAATCTAATACACCTATCCCTCAATACATGAAATAGATGTGTTCTTAAAAAGTTGTCCTTATTATTGAAATTCTACAAGGAAATCCATTTTTCCATAGATTCCCATTATATAATTAGAGATGCTTTTTACGGAAAAAGTTTCAGCTTGAAGACATAATATAAAAACACTTAAGAACATAGAAAACCTGTTTTTAACACGTATTCAATATAAATTCAATATTGCTATGATAAGATATTATTATTACTTAAAATAAAATAAAAATGTTAATACATAATATTTAACAGTTACTACAGACTGTGGTTATCGCTGTGTGAGGTGGTTTTCAGGGAGATGCAGGGGAGTAACTGGGAGGGAGAGGGAGGAGCAATAGGTTCCTCTGCCTCACCCTCTGAGTCATCTTTTTCAGCTGCAAGCAATGTTACCAACAAAGGAGCACTTTTCATCTTGCTTAGTTTGCTAATAAAGGGACTTTTTCTGAGAAATATGTCCACAGCTAGCTGCTTTGAATGCTTCTTTTTTCTTTATACAGCTTTTTATAACAGTGGATATCATCATTTACTCTTCTGGAAAGCTTAAGGCTATGTTCACAGTTTGGATCATTATCAGAAAGAACTTGCAAACCTGTTTCAAAATGTGAAAAAGCTTCATTTGTTTTGTATTCAACTGATAAGAAGTGGAACAATCTCACTGTTATCCACATCACACTCTTATTCCAGCTGCATCAGTTCCTCATTCATAAAGTCTTCTCCATGAGAGTCCACCACATCTGCTTCCATGACGTTTTCAAAGCCTACATCATTTGCAAGGATCACAATGTTTTCACAAATTTCTGGGATAGTTTCTGGTTGGGCAAAACCAGCAATATCATGGACACACTCAAGCCATAGTTTCCTCTACTGATGCATGAACTTCCTTCACTACTTGATGTTGTTGTTTACAGTGTTCATAATGTTATAGTTTTGCCAAAACTGCCTAATTGTAGGCTTCTCCTCCCAATCAGTTTCTTTTTGCATTGATTTTAAGGCTATCAAAGATCAGTTAATATTTCTTCTGGAAGGCAATGCTGAGAGCAATTTAAAGTTGAAGCCCTTATTGGTTTATCATTCAAAAACCCCAGGGTTATGAAGGGCTACTCCAAGCTGAATCTATGTGTGATTTGGCATTCAAACTGGAAGGCTTGAGTAATTTTGCAAATTTTTCACAAGTGGTTCACTAATTGTTTTTGCTCTGCTGTGGGATAGTACTGTACCAAAAAGAACCTTGCTAAAAGTCTTTGCTGACCTTAGATAATGCCTCAGGCATTTGAGTGATCTGTCTGATAATGTGAGGGTAAGGTACCTCCTTAAAAACATGACAGCTTTGCTCCAGCCCATGGATCATTTTGTGATAGTCATCACTTATTACTTGAGAAAAACCTTTTGCTAACTTATACTTCTCTTCCGTAAAAATAAATGTACTATCTGACACACACTTCCAATAAAATCCTGTCTTGTTTACAATAAACACATGTTGCAGTGTGTACCCACCCTCTTTGATTATTTTCTTCAGTACATCAGGATACTTATTAGCCACCTCTGTATCAGCATTGAGAGCTTCATCACTTATTTTAATATTATGCAAACCATGACACTTTTTTCAATCTCTCAAACCATCATTTACTAGTTCTATTATAAAAGTTGCAATTACAGAGCTTGTTCTTTGTTCACTCTTTTACTTCTCATACAAACTTTTCACTTTCTCCTGAATAATCATAGTGTTTATCAACAAATTACATTTAAGTCTATGTTTTTCATTACATCACCTTTATGGTGAGTCAGTTTCATAGTGCTTAAAGGTGTAACAGTTAGAGACTGGCTTTTATTTTGTCTTTATTATAACATATTGTTCCCATTGTAGACAGAGCAAGTCCTAATGCTTTCAAAAGTTAGTTAAATTTTCCACCCACTTCAGACCACTTTAACACATCTAATATCACTTCTAAGGTAATTGATTTATGGTCTCTTTTTGCACCTCTACTATCACTAGCACTTAACGCCCTTTTTCCAGTCATATTTACATACTATTACTGTAGTTATAACTTTAAACAAGGGTGAAACACAGTCACAAGCAAGATCCACACAAGAGTGCCCACAGGAAAAACAGGCGTTCTGGAGCAAAGCAAAGCAGAATGAAGAGGTATGAAATGCCCACAAAGACAAACAATGTACCATGCAGTGCACGGAATAGAACATTACCCAGTCGTTCAATTTTGGCTATCATACTATATTTTAAGAGAAGTTTGTGGATATGTGGGTGTGTTTGTTTGTCTGCTAATTCTTTCTAGGCTTTTGCATTCAGACATGTCAAATATGGTTTTAATCAACTAGGAATGGTGCTAGATGTGTCAACAAGAAGATTTGTTTTCATTAAAATGCACAGATTTCATAACTCCATTCATGGCTAGCTATACACTAGTCAGTAGGAGTGGCTGCTAGTGGTACTGATGGGATTTACAGTCTATGTATACATTCTTTATACACACTTTCAAGGCAGACACAGTTATACTAAGTGAGAATGTTTTGTTAAGTCACATGTTATTTTGAAGAAAAATCAACACGATTATATTTATAATTGTTAAAAATTTCATTTCTAAACCATATATTTGCTATAACAATAATCAGGCACAATAGAAAATAAAAGATCAAAAAAATGTTATAATCGCATGTAGAAAAAAACACAATAAAATGGACTAACAATTTTATTGACTATTTACAAACAATAACCATAGAGGCAAGGTAATAAGATTAATAATCTAATTGTGTGTGAAGCAAGAACAATAAAATTTTATAGCAAAAAACTCTCACCATGGATCACACATGTTCATTGGCTAGTAAAATTTAAACTTTATATGTTAGAGATTCAAAATTCCATAAAAATGAATTTTAGCCTTCTATATAACGAATTGATTCCCTCACCTATAAGTTCCATTATAATGGTATACTTTTTATAGATTTACATGGTATTTGCATAAACTTTTATTATACAAATTTTTGTTTTCCAAAATGGTTTAATAAAGTTGAACTTTCCAGTGACAAGTCAATAATAATGATATTTGATAATCTTATTCAAACAGAATTCTTGAACCAAATTATAAAAATAGTCGTATCTAACTAACACTGTCGACTTACCGAATTAACAGAGGTCACATTAGTATGATGTTGAAGCAAGAACCTAACCATGTTGACTTGACCAAAGTGACAAGCTATATGTAATGGAGAGTATCCAGCATTCGTTTCTGAATCAACAGTAGCATCATTTTTCACTAAAATTGCTGCAATATTCACAAGATCTTCTTGAGCACACAGATGGAGAGGAGTAAGGCCATTCTGAAAATACAAAATTTTAATAAATCAAAAAACTGTACATATTAAAAAAGGTTACCTAAATTTTTCAAATAAAAAATATTGAGCCAAAAAGAGTATTTCATTCAAAAATTACAGTCTTTTTAAATGTGTATTTAAATAGAGTACATTTCTACAATCAAAGTAATCAAGTTTAAAAATTCTAATAACATGTTTGTTGCATCCTTTTAGTAGTTTTAGCAAACAACCTTATTCCTTCAGAGAAAAGTCTGCTTTATGGCTTTCAGCTCCATCTTTTTTGCTGCTTGTGGAAGTTAGAATGATCAATAAGCCTTATGCAGAATGTTATTGCTCAATGCCACAATAAATGTCCAACCAGCTCTGTTGCTACCTGTAGTATAGGAATAATCTGTGGCTATGATGACTGCCTATCACAGTCTTTAAACAGGTACTGATAAGCATTTTGTAAGGTTTTTTTCAATCTTTTCCAGCTGTATAGTGCTCATACTGATCATTGGTAGCTAATAATCCAAGATGGAATGGATATGGCTTTGGTAGGGGATAAACAAGTGATGTTTCTCAACTCTCTTTCCTACTGTAACTTTCAATGCATTGATAACTTTCGTAGGTCTAGTTATCATGGTGTTAATGGTAAATTTGAGTTATCTGTCAAAGATTACCACCAGATATTTTGGTGTTCCTTCTAGAGGAATAGTATTGCCTGCAAAGGATGGTGATGGTTTTTCTCATCAGCAGGTGTGTTGTTGTTGAGTGTATAGAACGTGGCTATGGCTTTGGTAGGACTGATGACCATTCCTGTATCATTGCATTTGTTCTCCCTGCTAAGAGATCATTACATCTTCCTTTCAAGTTCAGCTTTGCTAGAGCCTCTACAGTACACCAGAATGAGATCAGCAAATGTTAGATCACAGCATCTTGTTGATCTGTTAAGGCTGGCTAGATCTATGGTGTAGATGTTGAAGAGGACTGGCAAGAAGGGTGATTCTTGAGATAGACCAGTGTTAATGGTGATCTAGTCTAATTGCTAGCTTCTGTGCTTCATGATGCATTTTCTGATAGTTAGTGTCCCATTTTACACATTACACTGATGCCTCTTCTGAGCACTTTTTCATCAAAAATGAGCAACTGGACTCTATTGGAGGCATCTTCCAGAGCTAAAACTACTATAATGGAATTCTTACCATCTTTAAGGCCTTCAAATGTATTAGATGCAAAATTAGCAGCAATAATTCAGGTTTCTCTTCCACTGTAGTAACCACCAAAGTATGATGGCAGTACCAGTTCATTCTTATAAGCATGCTGCCATCAAATATATTCCCAATGCAGGATTTGACTCTTTTAACTCTAGGTTTTAACTGATCACCTACATTAAAATTTATATTTTAAAAACTAATTGTTCTAATAGAATGAAATTTCACCTGAGGTAGATTGATAAATATATGTTTTACCCAGAAACATTTGTACAAGATGCAGGGTGTTTCAAAAATTGTTACAAAAGTTGTTAAATATGCTTTCTATTGCTATCAATCAGCACATCATGGCTATCTCTAAATGAAGCAACTGCAAGAATTATCTGTTATAGATAGTGTTCATGATCCATGTAATATTCTTCACACTGAAACATTCTACTCAAACAACCTATCATGTACTGCTGAAGGAAAAAAGAAAGAAGAGAAATACAAGCAGTGCTAATTAATAAGAAAAGCAATTTATTTATGTAATATGATATGGTTTCAAAACACCTTGATTCTCAGTGTGCATATGATTAAATCTTAATCCCATAGGGCAAGTAGTTTCTAAGGTATAATCATTTTAGATTTGTTTGTTTGTTTTTTTCTTATAATCATCCTGTATATCTCGTTAGACTTTATGATCATAGTTATTTATGAAAATTGTTTCCCACATTGTATTTGAGAACATAAAGAAAACTAAATGTGAACATTCATGTGAAGGTTTACTAAACAGGCTTATGACAAAGCAATTCTGTGTAGTTAAGTAACATTTTCTGCACAAATATATATATCACACAGGTCAGGTTTCTAATAGGAATGATGTCTGATGCTATTCCTTTCAAAACAAACATATATTTAATTGAATGCTCTAGCTCACATATACAGAGGGTAAATCATATGTATAATTTATGAGAATGATTTGCATATGTTGTAATTAAAGCCAAAAGCTTTAAATTATGACACTTATAATAATAAATTATTGAGTTTTAGTATATATTTTTCAGAAATATACAATCAGTGAACTTACTTTTAAAGATAGATTTTAGTTTTCAAGCTCCGTGCAATTTGAAGTTAAAAAATATGTATGATCAGATTGATTTGAGTTCAGAAATTTTGCCCTCAGATACAGCAAGTGGTCTTTCTATATGTTTTTCTATTTTGATGTCATTCGTATCTAAAACACGTGTTTAATGCAACAATTTATTATCGAGTACATGGATTTAGTACAGGATCTATGCTTGCATCTGCTATGATCTTATCTTCAAATATAGCAAGTGGCCTTTCTAAATGTGTCTCTAAGTTGATGTCATTTGCAGCTAATATATCACATTTTGTGTTTCATGGAACAATTTATGATCAAGTAGATGGATTTAGTACGGGATATATCCCTGCATCTATTATGACTTTATCTTCAGTTACAGCAAGTAGACTTTCTATATATATTTCTAAGCTGATATCATTTGTAGCTAAAAGATTATATTTTGTGTCTAATGGTAAAATTTATGATCAAGTAGATGGAGCTAGAATGGTATCTATGCTTGCATCTGCTATGACTAATTTTTTTTATAGATTTCGTTAAAAAAAACGATGAGTGACAAAATGTACCATTAAACTTAAGTCACTTTACAAGAAGAAGATACATAAATAATACATTTACTAGTTTTCAGCTACAAAGTTATGTTGGTAATTTTTAAATATTTGAATAATAAGCATCTAAATGCAGAATTTTACTGCAAATGAACAGGAACCTATTTTACCATTTTTAAATATAATAGTATATCATAAACAAGGTAGTTCCAATATGATACCTTACCTCCTCTCATGTAATAGCTTTTCTCGTTCAGTGCTGCACTCTATATCAATGCACTTTTTTTGTTCGTCACTGGCTTTGATACTCTCACCTACCCCATGTGTTGAACATGGTATAACTGTGCTGTAGCATGCAACAACCCTCCACCAATAGGAGTGCAACACACCCTCCTGGCACAACTGGCTCTCTTTATACTGTAAAACTCAATCTTCAATTCTTGATTTGGTACTGTAGCATGAAGACATGTTTAAATTTCACTTGTGTTTAATTTAGAATTTTTACTTTTTCAATTTCTTCATGAACTTAGTTGTTTCTGATTTTGTTTTATGTACAGTTTAACTTGAGTTAGTGTAGATTGTTCCTTTTGTTCCCACTCGCAGTTGAATTATAAATTCCGAATTTCAAATCACTACAACTAAAACAGTAGTTAACACTACTACTATATCTCAACCTGCAGTTTCTCTGGCTTCAAGGTCCACATTTTGGGCTGAGAAGGATTCAGTTTTAATACATCGTGAATTAGAGTCCATTATGCATCCTGCGGTGTCTCCTGATCCCAAACCAGATATTTCTTTTCCTGGTGAACCTGTACAAGAAGATGACCATTTGGATAGCCTCTTTCCTCCTTCTTCCTTTGCCATGCAATCCCATTTTCCACCTGTGGATGCTGATGTGTCTTATAACTCCTTTCCTTCCCTATCACATTCTGCCCCTCCCTCTGACTAACTGGTTTTCTCTCCTCTTCAGATAGTAAAGTCCATGCTGACCAGTTTGTAGCACAGTTGCATTCTGGGGGTCAGCATGCCTCATCCCCTTAGAACCTTAGATAATTATGCTTTGGTGTATCATCATTTGGATTTTCCACTTCTTCACTCTCACATATTAGTCTTTGATCTAGGTGTTTGGTTCTGATCCTGATACCTTGTGAGGTTTACTCAAGCTCAATTTTCCCACCTCCCTTTGTCTCTCTCCACCCTTCTGAGATACCTCTCCTCTATCCATCTGCTGTCCAAGGCTATCCAACACTCACATGCAGGGTTAACAGAGAATGTGTATTCCAGATTGGGGTGCTTGTCTTCTTCAGCTCTTTCCTTTCAAACATGGCTCATCTGTTGTTGAGATCTCCTGGGTAGGGACACACTGTTAACTAATGTGTTCCTACCTGTGTCTTATTTACAGGACATCTGAATGGCCAATGTTTATGTAGATCAGTTTTTGGAGATTTTGCTGGTGTTTTAGAGTGTCAACAACATTCCTCTCTTTCATCCTCAGTCTCTCACCTAGTGAAGACTTTGCCTGATCCTGTTCCCCTTTCCTGTCCTCCTTTTTCTACCCTTTTGCCTATTCCTCTTTCCTGGGTCTTAGTAGATGGCAGCCAAATTTCTCATCACTGGTCTCCCCCACCACCAATAGTACTGGTGACTATCCCATAGGTTCTGGTATGGTCAGAGCACATTTGGCCAAGTTGGGATGCTTCAGGAATTGTTAGAAGGTATTTCTCTTCATTTTCTCAACCTCCTCACTAATCCTTACATCTCATCCCTTTCTCCCTCCTTGGGATCCTATTTCTTGCCAGCATCTCTTTGAAACAGTTCAGACTCTTCTTCTCTAGGATGCTATAGAACCTTTCAGTCAATCTTCTCCAGGATGCTATTCCAGGTTGTTCATAGTTCCCAAGAAGACCTGGGACTGGTGTCCTTTTATAGATCTTTCATGTCTCAACCGTTTTCTCAACCTTCCTCACTTCACTATGGAGTCCTTCTTCACACTTTGGTGGGCATTTACTTTGGATCTTTGGATGACTAAGATGAATGTTGCGGATGCATAATTTCACATCTTTATTTCCCCAACATCCAGATATTACTTTCAAGTTTATCAATTCCATGCTTTGCTATTTGGTCTGGTGTTTGCACCCTATGTGTTTTGTCGGGTAGTCAGAGCCTTTGCTCAAATTATTCATTCTTATGGTCTGCAGTTCCACTGTTACATGATCAAATGACTGTTGTTAGCTCCATCTCTTCAGACATCTCACAAGTACACTCAGTTGCTTCTTCAAGAGGCAGCTCAAGTAGTTTGGCTTATGAAACTGGAGAAATCTTTTCTTCTTCTGAACCATTACCTTATCCACTTGAAGGTGTTTATAATCTCCTTTCTCAGTCAAGCCTAGACTTCTCCACTTTGTTTGCAAGTGATAAAGCTATTAGTTTTCAAGGCTCAATCCTCTCCTTCTCTTACTGCATGCATTGTTCTCTCTCTTTTGAGTATCTGGGCTTCCATGGAACCCTCATTCCCTTTGGTCGTACTCATATGCCCACCCTTCATTGGATGTTGCACAATCAGTGGAATCTTGATCAGGATCCCCTGGACTCTGTTATCCTTCTTCCTCCCTCACTGCACATCGATGTAGCCTGGTGGCTCAAGAGAAACAACACCATGACAGGTGTTCCTCTTCCACCTCCCCATCCAGAATTGCATCTTTCTACAATTAATTCTCTGAGAGGTTGGAAAGTGATTATGGATCCACAGGAAATTGTGGGTTGTTGGTCTTTAGTCGAATCAGCTATGAACATCAATATACTAGAGCTTCTTGCTGTTTGTTGGGTTCTGGATCATTTCCTGCCCTTAATACGATGATCCATTCAAACAATTCAACCATTATCTCATATATCAATTGACAAGGTAAACCATTTCATATTTGCTTTGTTTCTAGACATTAGAACTCCTATTCTGGTCCCATTCACATTGCACACACCTACTGGCAGGTCATGTTCTGGATGCTCTAAATCTTGTAGTTCCTCAATTCTCAGGTGATTCAGTGGTTGTGCGACCAGTGTAGTACTCCTGTTCTGGATGCATTTGCCATCCATCTCAATTCCAAGCTACCCCTTTTTGGTCCTCAATTCCATATCCTTTGGCTTTGGTGATAGATGCATTCTGTTAGGATTGGTTACACCTTTACCTTTATCTCTATACACCTCTCCCTCTTCCTTGAGTTTTATCCATTATCCATTCACTGCATGTCAGATCCTTCTCGTAGCACCTTTTTGGCTTCCTCAACCTTGGTATTCAGTTCTTACACACTTTCTACTTTGACAACCTCAGTCACCAGTGTATCATCCCAATGTTGCCATGCTCTAGCTAAATGTTTGCCATTTGTCTAGTCCATTGCAAGGTGGTCAGGACTCTCCACAGGAGTAGCTGTCATTCTTTCCCATTTTGTCCAACCTTCCTCCTTAATGGTGTATCAGAGAAAATTGCATGTTTTTTTGCCAGTGGTATCTGAGCTATGGTTACCTCCCTTCCTATCCTACTGTTCCTCATATCTCTGAATTTTTTTACCTGGCTGTTCAATAATGATTCTTATCTGTCTACCATTACTGGACATAGAGTAGATTTGTCCAATACCTTCGGTTTCTTCCATTCCTGTCACGTTTTTCCTCTCCGGTCCTCTCTCTCTTTGTTTCTTTCTTTTCATCTCCTTTGTCCTCCTCATACTATGCCCCATCCTGATTGGGACTTCAATATCATTCTCCATGCCCTTACCCAACCTCCTTTCGAACCCTTGGTTATCTGTTCCTTGTACCATTTGTCACTCAAGACCTCTTTTTTGCTACTTTTTGCCCGTGGTTGTTGTCAGTCAGATGTTTTCATTCTTGATGTATCACTTGTTCTTTACACCATACCTATCCAGTATCTGTGTCACAGTTTTTCCTAAGACATTGGCAGCTCGTGAAGGTGATGTCACATTCACACCTATTTCCTTACCTTCCATTTCCCATTTGTATTCCTGCTCTGAACTGAATAGTTTTCACTGTCCTGTTAGTGCTCTCTAGTGCTATATTGCTCACGCAGCTTCTTCCATGGTTCCCATTCCTGTTTGTGTATCCATTGGAACCCTTCCTCTCACCATGATATTTCCCCCTACCACCCTTATGGGATGGATTCACCAGCTTATCAAGCTGGCTTATTCTTCCTTGCCTTCCAATTCCCAACGTCGTTTCCAAGTATACTCTCATAAGGTCTGGCACCTCTCCCTTTTACTGGTTGCTCATTTCCAATATCCATTGGAGGAAATTATTTGGGCTGGTATGTGGACCACATCAAACACTTTGATCTCCTATTACCTTCATCAGGTTACCATCTCCTTCTCATCAGGATACCAAATGCCACCAGTTGCCATTCTCCATACCTCAGTTACACTGTGAGTGGATAAGTTTATATTTCTTTATTTCCTATTCAAGGTCGCTCTTTTACATTTTGGATCCTGCTCTTTGGTGAGTGGTGCCTGTCCAGGTATACTAATCCATAAATCCACAGTGTATGGCCTTTCAGATCTATAATGTTCCCTGTTGAGATGGGGTGTTCCATAATACTACTAGTAGGTTCCTCCTTGCGGTGTTTTGCATCATAACTACATTTGTCCCTAACTGTACCAACTCACGAACTATCATGAGTAAAGCAGTGTTGGAATAGCTGCCCATCCCCTATTCCTGATTGAATAAATCAGGACTGACCTGCTTTTGAAAATAGGGTTTCATGGTCACCCATTGCACTTTCTCTAGTGTTGTGTTTCTCCAGACTCCCCACCACATTTTCCTTCCTCTTCGTGTGGAGTAATGGTGTTCTTGCCACTTAACAGTTCCTAGCCACTGGAGTAGTGGACCATGGATGCATCCCCCTGAGTGTGCTCAATCCCATTCACTTGAGAATAGGATAGTGGTGTTTTGTTGGTGTAGATAGTGTGAACTCTTCTCCTACTACAAACTGGAAGAAAAATACCCAATATCACCTGGTTATGGACTGGAGATGATTCACCAAAATGGAGGTGAAAACAGTAGGGACCCTCCTCCTACTGTGGACTGGACAATAAATACCTGATGCCACCTGGTTTTGGACTGGAGTTGACCCACTGTATAAGGTCTGACATGCCTTAGCCACTGACACCATTTGGCGATTCCAATTATTCATTATATGTGCATCTTTTCCATCTGATTTCATGACATGTATCTTCATAGCAGGCAAAGAGTATACCCGGTACAGATATGGTGCAATCTTCAAGTGGTGTGTCCCTAATGGGTGTTCATCTATGAAAACTTTGCACTGTTCCTTCCACCAGTTCAATGTAGGATTCTAACTATTATGTGAATGGAAGTAAGGTATCGTATTAGGAGTTATAATTTTCCTAAACTGAAATGTATTTCTGATAGATACCTTTTCTCACACTTCCCACCCTGCCTCCCCACTTCTGATGCTTCTTTTTTGACTCATCTCGAAGTGAAGGTTGGGTTTTACAGTATAGAGGTAGCAAGCTGTACCAGGAGGGTTTATCACCCTCCTATTGGTGGAGGGTTGTTGCATGCTTATTTGCATGCTACAGTGTAGCTGAACCACATTAAATACATGGGATAGGTGGGAGTATCAAGGCTAATGGAAAGTGTGCATATAGAGGGCAGCACTGAATCAGAAAAGCTATTATGTGAATAGAGGTAAGTGTCTATTGGAAATACATTTTCAGTTTAGGAAACTTACAACTTCTGAAGTAAGCACATATCGTATAACAAATTTATAAGGACTTTAAACCTATTTTAATAGTTTTGTTTCTAAAGCATTTAAGAGGATTTTGAATCAATTATTAATAATGTTTGTATGATTCTAAACAATAGTTCTATGTCACATGAATAACAGTCCATATTAAATAATTTTTTAATTGTAGTGAGCTTGAAAGTAATATCGCTGAAATGTTAACTGTACTGACTACTCCTAAAGTTTTGAAGTTTAATGTAGCAAAGAAACTAATAATAGGAAGACCATATATAGGACAACAGGATAAAAAAAATGGTTTTCATACAGGGCAGGGTTTATTCACAAACAGAAATATGATGTTCAGTTAAGTCTATTACAAGAATAATGCATTGATTTTGTAATAAAGTCTTGATACCTAAGAATATGATAGTTTGACATGTACAATTTGTATGTCTGCTTGTAGAGAGGAGTTATGTGAGTTCGACCATTACATGATTATAGACTCATATAAAGTAACATAATTCTGAAAAATCTGAGAATTTATCAAGCTAGCTAGTATAATGACATGTTACATTACTATTACTTGTGAAAACTTAATAAATATTGATTAAGCTGAGGATAAATAGTATAATTAAGCTAAGTAAGAACAGTATAACTAAGCTGAGGATGAACAGTATACTTAAGCCAAGAATGAATGATATAATTAAGCTGAGGATGAAGACCAATTAAGAATTCTTAATTCAAAGTTGAACAGATGCAGAACTTGAGCCAATAATAAACTATCAAAATCTGGCAACATGACTTTTTCTCAAGCTGTACGATGTTCATTTATATTTCTAATACCAATTTATTTTTACCTTTGACAATTACATATAGAGTGAAAGATGTCTGACAAGTTTATTTAAAGATACATTATCAAGGTTGGTCTCATCATCCTTCATAAAGGCTTACAGAAAATTGCAGAATTAGTCAAAGTGAATATAATCATGACCATCATGCTGTGCATAATCAGTAATGTAGGAGAAGTTTCAATGCCAGCAAAGGAATTAACCTTCAATAAATGTAACTTCTGTAAACATCTAAAGAATTCATTTTTTTAATTAATCATTTAGAAAATAATAAATAATCTCCTAGATAAAAGAAAACACTTACCTTAGCTCTCGCATTCACGTCAGCATAGTGCTCAGTTAATAGTGTTGTCATATCTGTGTGTCCTTCCTGTGAAGCTAGGTGAAGTGGTGTAAATCCAGTCTGAACCAAATTAACATTCCCATTATCAAACTGAGATCATACACAACTGGAAAAAATTCTCATGTTAACTCAAACTAATTTGATAGTTTAGTATAAACTATTACATTTAGTTTAGCTACTTAATGAAAAGAGACAAAAACAAGACATTTACATATCTTTGTATATGTTATAATTAATTACCTTAGTTTCTGCATTGGCTTTGGCTCCATATTCCAACAGCGTTGTAGCAATATCCATCTGGCTGTGCTTAGCAGCAATATGGAGTGAGGTGTAGCCATTCTTTGCAGCAGCATGAGGAGATGCTCCATTTTCAAGTAACAAAAGTGCTACATTGACATGATCATAATGTGTTGCCACATGTAATGGAGTTACACCATTCTGTTTAAAATATAATGAAACAGCCTTTACAACCTGTTTGTGTTTTAACCACATTTCTTTTAAATTTGTGGGAAACTGGATTAAATAATTAACACCAACCCATTAGCTGTATTTTCCATTTGGATTTATCATTACTAATTTATGCTGATACCCCAAGTTTAGATTTACTTAAATTAACCAAGGTGACATATAAACTACTGTTTCCGTATATGTTATTGATTCAACAAATAACAATACTGTATATATGTAATTTAGTTTTGGATATAAAGCGAGATCTGCAATACCTTTTCATGCCAGTACAATGTCAAATTTACAAGTGTAAAAACTTTTTAAATAAAAAGTAGGAATGGGAAGGATAACATTACAACACTTTGTGGTTTTTGACATGGTGCAATCTCAAAGTGTGTTTTGCCATTGTTCCACCCATTCCTATTTCATATGCTTTTTGTAAATTGGTAATTTTTCAAACTAAATGAAAGGTGTATATAGCTAAATTTCTCTGTTGTAAACGTTGTTTATGCAACCAAGTACAGATATATGTATGTAATTAAATTATATAACCCTAACAAATTGCATGACATCATAAAAGGGTTTTTGATGTCAAAAATGAGACAGGAAGCTTCAATAGTCATATTTTGCTTATGGGAGACATTATAGCTATCTGACTGGTAAGGGGTGGGCCAAAAGAATAGTATCAAAACCACTGATTTAAAAAAAAATTAAATTTGTTGAGTATTTAGAAAGGATTAGCTACTGATAACACTCAAATCAAGTCTATAATTGGATCAAAGTTCAAGGTAAAACACAAAGTAGGAATGGGTAGAACAATGACTACACCCACTATGAGGTTGCACATGTCAAAAGTCACCAAGTCTTGTAATGTTATCCCACTAATTCCTACCTTGTTTCTTTACTTTTTGGTGCTCCCATTTCTAGTCCCTAATTTTTTTATTTCAAACCTTTTCACACTTTTTTCATGGCTTTTTTTCAGTACTAAGTCTCTAGAGTGACTGAGCACTAGGCCTATCCTTCTCTTAGCTTTTCTTAGAGCTATCTCTCAACATTTCCTGACTTTTGTTGATATCTTTGCTATAGTTTTTCTTCCATCGAGTCAGGGTGACAGCCCTTTTTTTTGGCTTGATTAAAGGCAAAGGCTTGTTTCGTATATTCAACATTACTGTTTCTAACCTTATCTCTATTCTTGCAGTAATGCTCTCTTCACTGGGACAAAAACTTTTCAAAGTTATTAACACAAGATGTTCTCCTTTTCTCTCGTTTTTGTTTCATTGAAAGGCATATTTTAAAAATTGCACTGTTTCAAGTACAACCTTAAATGTCAATACAAAGATAAATTACCCAACTTATTGTTCTTGTTTTTACTCCAGAGTGCTCGAGCAAAGCTATGTCAGACTTCGGCAGTTGTAGCATTCATCCTCACATAGGATATTCATATTTTATGCAGCAACTGCTATGATAGAATTGCTTTGTCCAACACAGAACTCTCAAGTGAGAGGTATATAACTGAAAACTTAACTTTAAAAGGTTAGATCACAGTTAGAACCTAGATCTAGAGAATCTATGTTGTCCACGTTTTTATATCTAGCTGATACAGATGCAGGCTGATCATGTAGCACATGCCCTTAAGCAATCATGCACACACACACGTGATATGATGGTGGGTTGTTACTTGGTAACTCACAGAACATGCTCATAATAATAGAATATGGCTACTAGTGCATTGTTAGCTCGTTAATAGTGTTGCAAAATGGTTATTGTTATTACCGTATTTTTCGGTGTATAAGATGCACTTTTTTACCCCAAAATTTGATGTCAAAATCTGCTTGCGTCCTAAACACCGAAGGTATGAGTAATATATATATATGTATATATATGATATACACAACCATGTGTAAATATATTTAAATAGGCATGCATAGTTTAGTTCAACTGAATTTGTTAAAAACATAACTATTTATAATGCTCCCTAAATAATAAAAAAAATAAATTACAGTGAAAGCAATGAAGATTTTGTAGGATTTGACCCAAACTAATTAACAGTAAACCTTTTTTTGATTTACGGTATTTTCTTATTTTGACGTTTTGAG